CAATTACGAAAAAAATAATCCAGTCTTTATTATTTAGATTTGTCTAAGTCTAAGTCTGTATTAACTGATACCAATGTGGAAACGGATTGCCTCTTGCTAACTCCGTCATTCTTTCTAACATGTAATAGGTGAAGTTACTACCTAGTTTCCACGTCTTGGATTGGCCGTTTGGGACTTTGTTATGTTGTAATGATACTTTAAAGGCGTTTCTGAAGATAAGGTACTTTTTTGAAATGTGTTTTTTTGCCGAATTGTCGAAAAAAAAGACTTTTTATTTTATCTATTTGTACACGACAGCATTTAAGTGCGTCCTCCATCAATAAATTTTACGTATGAGCAAAAACAATTTAAATGTTTTCATTCCAAAGCATATTTAATACTATGACCAATTTGAGGCATTATCAGTTACTGCAAAATTACTTTTTGTTTTAGAATCCCTGAATAATAATTTCACTAATTTTAAAAGCGATGTTTTCTTAATATGGTTTCCAGAAAAATGGCCAGCAGTCTAATTAAACGCGTGGTTAAACTCTAAATTTTCGGTTAAATTCGTTAAAATCAACTAGTTGATGGTTTGAAGCTGGTTACTTCTATAAAAAAAAAAGAAAAAGAGGATGATACTATTGAAAATTGACTAGTACAAGAAAAAGAAACTGATATAGATGACTTAAGTCCATGTAAAATGTAAAGTACTAATTTGTATTGTTTAATTATTTTTCAAGTTATAATAAATATATTCTTCGTTAGTTTCTTTCACTTTAATACTTAATACACATGAAACCGATAATAGCCAAGATGTTTTGCAGACTCGCTAATTTTGAATACTGGTTAACCAATTCAACGAGTTACAGTTTTTTACGAAAATAAAAACGGTTTCCGATATAAAATTTTAAAAAACTAAAGGACCCACCTCTAGTTGTCTTAGTCTTTAATGTAGGATCGGAAACCACAGCATATGTGACAATAGCTCTGATCGGAACTAAGCGTCCCTCACTAACATGCAAAAATGGGCGTAGAGAAGATTTATGGCGGGGATGACCAAGTGGGAATATGAGTGTGTTTTTCTTGTGTCTATTCGCTGTAAAATATGATTTTATTATAGTCTGTGTTAGATATCCTGTTAAGTTTTAAAACCATACCGACCATAAAAATTGTTACCTACCCTGTATGTGTTTTATCACAATCAGTTTAATTTAAACTACCTAGACGTACCTGTTTTTCGCTTTTCTACAATTTGCAAATCAATCTTCAGGTCAGGATCGGTACACACAAGTTTAATTAGAAGTTGCTGTTGACATTATTAAAAGCCCATAAGTAGGTGCTGGTCTGATACAAATAAACATATGAGAAAAATTAATATAAAAATTAACTGCAACTAATGCCAATATTACATGTCCTGGGTTTTTTTAACAGGATTAAACTGTTGGTAATCAAAACTGTTTTATGGCTAATTTGGTATAAAATAGTCTATTGAAATGTAATAAATTAGTAAATAAACAAAACATTACTTACATGTCGGTACAAGTTTTATAAATGATTTGGAGAACATAGTTCAAACTATACTGTATTTGCTAATGAAGGGGATCTTCGGTTTTTACTATTGTAATTGTTTGATAATTAACGGGGAAGTTTCTTGAGGAGATAGATATTAACCAATGAAGTAAAAATAAGGTAGAATGTGATTGTTTGTTAAATGAAGTGATGTTCTGTATTATTTAATTCATTAAAAGCTATTTATATTTATTCAAGAGATAAATTTTCGAAATGTGTGTTAACTATTGAAATTTTTATTAAGGTGCTAGTTGTATGACAATGAATGAAATTAGATGTACAATTGTGTAGGTGTGCAATTCCTTTTAACTTGTAATTATCAAATTTCTTCTGATAAAGTTGAATTAGATTACTGTTTTTTGGCATATATGTTAAAAATATTTTACAAAGTAATTGATATGGCAACCCTGTTAGTATGACGTTTTGTTTGAAGCGTTTTCGAAGCCGTAAGTATTGCTATTTATCGATGATAAAAATATAACTGATGTTTTCAGATGGAACCACCTCTCTAAAACATCGTGTTTAAGTGAAAAAATATTCAACGTTATTGCAAATATTTCCACTTTATATAGTATTATATATGTTGTTATTAAAATCTTCGCATACATCGAAGGAAAAAGCGGACCTTCGAAAACCAGATTAATGCAAGAGCTTCAATCATTAAAGGGCCAAAAATGAAACTAGAAAGTCTATAATATTCTAAATAAAGACAGAAAAGAAATTTAAACCACGGTCTGACGATGTGTAAGACAAAAATGGACATATAGTCAGTACCGCTGACGCAGTACAAAGCAGATGGGATTGAGCGCTTCAAAGAACTACTTGGTACCGAAGTGAAAAATGATGCGTCACACCCCAAAGACCAAGACAATAACACCACGTAGAACCTCCTTCAATAATAGAAGTGAAAGACGCAATCACACGACTCAAAAATAGCAAGTCCCCCAGGTGGATTGTATCCCGCAGGCTCATCAAACATGGAGGTAACAGCATTATCACCAAATTCACACATAAAGTCAAAGTCTGGGAAGAAGAACAAAGGCCAGAGGAATGGTGCACTGGAATCATATGTCCACTACACAAAAAGGGAGATTTGTTGGAATGTAAAAATTATAGGGTATAACTCTTCTGAATACAATGTACAAAATATTCTCCAACACCCGTACAAGCCGATGTTAAGTACGTACGTGGAAGAAATTCTTGGTGAGTATCAAATCGGTTTTAGGCCAGTAGGTCAACAATTGACCAGATTTTTGTGCTCACGGTCAAATCTTAGAAAAAACTAATGAATTTAATATTGACACGTTCCATCTCTTTGTGGACTTTAAGTCACGTATGATAGCGTCCTAAGAGGTAAATTAACGAATCCCGGAACTTAACATTCCCCATAAATTATAATCTCGTAAAAACAACTATGAGTAAAGTGATCTGCAGAGTTGCAAATACAAGGCGATATGTCACATAAGCGTTTTGAAAACATATGCAGGGTTACGGCATGGATGACGCGCTGGCGTGCGTCTTACATCATTATTATTAGCGTTAGAAAAGACGACTATGAAGAGATGCCGAGTTACTCAATAGGGGTGAACAATCGTTAATAAATCCCAAACGCAGATTATGGCTTACGCTGACGATCTGGTTTGATTCGCACGTACTACACGAGGACCTTTATAGAGGATGACTTCCCACCTTCTGTGATGACAGCCGCACAAATTATGGGCCTTAAAAGAAACGAGGAAAAAACCATTATGTTAGCTCTATTCCTATGGAACAGATGATAAGAGCTAGAAAACGCCGTTCTAAACTGCAGTCAGAGACCTATATATATTTGATGATAGTAAATTAGTTTTACAATATTTTGGGTTCTCTCATATACAAACGATAATTGACACACTAGCTGAAGAAATTAAACTGAGGGTATTGCTAGCAAACAACATGTTATGTTTGGACTAAGCAAGCAGCTAAAAAACAAGACATAATTTAAGCCAGAAAAACCAAACTAATAATATGATCGAACTCCTCATCCTACCAGTGCTGACAGATGGGTCCAGAAACTTGGACCCATCTCCAAAACAGAACGCAAATCTTCTGCTCGTCTTCGAATGGAAGATACTAAGAGGAAATAATGGGCGCATTCCTGGGACAATGGTATTGGGAGAAGGCGATATAATTTCGAAATGGTCCGAGAAGTTATTAAAAAATAAGTAAATAGGTAGAAGAGGTAATATCTTTCATAAAAATAGGTAGGCTTAGATGGGCTGGACAGTGTGCCAAGACGCAAATGAAAATTACACCCACCCAGACGAACGCTCTATTATCGTGTCCCAGTGGGAAAAAGGAGTAAAGGCAGACCACGACTGAGAATGGAGGGACGGTGTGGGACGAGGACGCATAGTGAAAAGCGGCGCTGGTCAAATTGGCAAACGGTTGGCGTTGGACAGTAAACGACTGGCGAAATAGACTGGCGAAGGTCAAGGCTTCAACTAGAGCTGTTAGCACCACCGATGAGGATGATTAAAATCTTGTCCAGTTTCGTATCGGTAGCTTTTATTATAAGCCGGAGATTAATTATATTTTTTCCTATTATGGCAAAACCTTGTACATTCAAAACAATTATCAAAAAAATTCATAAAGCGGATTTTCTTAGGATTATATCTTTATGTTGAACGAAGAATTTAACCGAAATTCTAGTGTTGGTGTTTCCCAGCTATAATACTTGGAAAATAGTAGATATGCTATGGAATTTTTTCGTAAACGAAAACAGGAAGTTTTGCTACAAAATTTGTGAAAATAACTTCTTGTGATCACATATATCCTTCTCAAATTTGTCCCAATTTTTTGAACTATGTCGAATTTGTCTTTTGGGGGGTTGCAGATCAACCTTAAATAATTAATCGTGTGTATCACGCTGATAATTTTTTTTTAAAGGTTGTTTTGTTAATTCATACTGTACCGTTGTGATTAATAAATTTTGTTTTATAAATTTTGTGCAAGACTTTATTATTTTTACCTAGTGCCCCTATTCTAATATATAAACAAAACAGAAACTCACCGATAGACGACTCTCAGCCAAAGCGTTAATGAACGTTTTAATCCTCTCGGTGGGTTGATGGAAATTTTTCAACGTTTTCTGCACCATGTTAACTCTCGGTTCGGTAGGAGAGTGATTCTCCGCTGTTGAGTTCGTGCTGCGGGAATCTCCCTTTTCGTCTTCGTAAGGATTAGGAGGTTGGTCCAGCTATACGATTAAACAAATAAGTTAAGGCATCAAAGATAATACGGTCATTTCATATTTCTTTCGTTACTTACCTGCAAGCCTCCGCTTAAAAACGCCGACTTCAGCCACTGACTCGACGACGTCTCTTCTTGGGCCAACGGAAGGCTCTGTCTCAAATTGAACGAGTGTAGTCCCAACAGATATCCTAAATTTCTTTCGGTGTCTAGAAGCATCAGGCACACGTACAAATGGCTGAGATTGTTCGGCCTACTTCCGTTTCCGGCTGGCAAAAGTTGCCGATCACGTAGTTCTCCATTAAGGCCATGAGCTGGCTGCTTTGCGGACAATTGTTGATTATATGGCCCACTTCTTTGCCGGCGTATTTCTGTAGAATCTGAAAGAGAATGATTTATGCATATGCTGTTAATTGTTCCAAATAAATCCTGAACCAATCTTTTCCTTTTCCAATTCATTCGCCAAATTTGACTTGACAATTAGAAGATCTGTCATCGGTGAATAAATTAAAAAGTGGTCCTTCCGGTTCGTCGGCCATCTTCTTAGTTTTGATTGTTTCTTGTGTCGTGTTCCTTTGGAATTTACCGTGATAATAAAAATTAGTATCAAATAAAGTTAATTTTAAAACAATAAATCAAATAGGTCGTTAAAAAAGAAACGGTGTCATTTATGAGTACTTAACACATAATAAAAAAATTGTTGTGTATTCGAATATCCACAGTATTTTTTATTAAAAAGAAATTGCTATTTTGTTTAATAATAGTGCATTTGTTTTGTAAATTGTAACTTTCAAAAACTATTGCATAAAAAATATTATACATATAGTTTATTTTTATGAACGAGAGAGTAATTAGCATAATTTTAACTGGTACCTTCCGACCACTCCATGGGCGTGCTCAAGATTAATTGAAAAATTACTTTGAATAATTGTAAAAAATAAATGAATTATTTCAGTGTTATAAAGTGTTATGTGTATGTAAACAAAAGTGACCTCTTTTATCACACACTATATTAGAACTGACTGGCCTACATTAAAAAGGGTTTTAAAAAATTCACATTTTTTTTTAATTTTTAAAAATTACAAAAGAGAAAAAGAGTTTTTTAAAACCGTCTAAGGTATGTTAAATAGATGAATAAAAATATTAATATAAAACTTACAGCTACTTGTTACAAATCCAAATCAGATTCAGAAGATGAACTTTCAGAACCAAGATTTATAATAACTGGCTCGATCATTTTATCAGTAATATTGTCCAGCTTCCACATTTTTTCCTCTTCTTTAATAGTGTGATTTACTGCCTTTTCCCAGTTTTCAGGTTTACATTATTTACGGCCTCCAAAAACAACTGTTTAACATCATGAATTTTAAAAGTGGTATTTTTTTCTTGAAACTTCACTCTTTATCTGTGCCCATACCAGTTCAATCGAGTTTAATTCACAATGATATGGTGGGGATCTAAGTACTGTCATTCCACGATTTTTGGCAATTTCATCAATTTCGTATTTTTTAAATTTTTCTTTATGAAGGGCACACAACGAATAAAGTTCCTTTCTTATAGATCCGGGATGGTATGTAATATTTTTTGAACTCAGCCAATTCTGCAAGTCTTTTTTTAACCACTTGGTTGTGGGAAGTCCTTCTATAAGTCTGGAGTGATAACTTGCATTATCCATTACTATACACAGTTCTTAGGAAGAAGATCTATCATTTGTTCCAACCATTCTTGAAAGACATCAGCGTTCATGTCTTCATGGTAGTCACCGGTACGAGTTGATTAAAAAGTTAATAAACCACCTTCAACAAAACCGTCTGAACTGCCAATGTGTACTATTATCAGCCTGCGTCCCTTTCCTGATGGTGGGTTTAAACCAGTAGATAAGTTATTTACAAAAGCGTGCCTTTGACTTGTAACAGTTTCATCCTGCCAAAATTTATTTGGTGTATGACCCTCGTTGATCCATGTTTCATCAAGATAAAATATTTTTCTTTTTTGGTTTCTCATTTCCTTTATGGTTCTTAGAAAATGTCTTCTCCATATGACAATATCGCTTCTTTCTAATAAAATAGACTTTCTGGGATTCTTTTTCCAGCGGAAGCCTATTTCTTTTAAAAGTTTCCATAACGTACTTCGACTCATTTCTGGGTAATCCTTATCATCTCGAACTGAGACAAGAACTTTATCCAATGTTGGAAATTCTTGTCTAAAGAAGAATTCATGCACTTTCCGTCGAAGTCCTTCTTTAAAATGATATTCTATTTGAAATTTTGGTTTCCCTGGAGCATTACGTGGCATTTGAAAAACTACCACATTTCTCTTCTTTAATAACTCTGTAAATCGTAGATTTCCCAACACCAAGTGTACTGCTAACTAACTCAACGGTCTCATCAACACTTTCACATAAACGTTTGTCTGTAAATGATTTAAAACAATTAAATATTAATGTTTTTTCATTAACTGTTAAAGGACCAATTTTTCGGCGTTTACACGGCACTTCCAAATTTTCCATAACACTAGTATACACAATAAACTGCACCTTGCAACTGAAGTACCTACTTTTAGTGAACTGTTAAGAATTTTGAATACGCCACTTGGACCTTCCTACAAAATGGAAAAACCCACTATCACATTTTCTGTGGAATAAGTTTAGAAGGTAATTATCTAGTCAATTACTGTCGTAGATTCCTGGAATTAAAGAATTAAATGTTTGATTGTTGAAACCCTTACTTCGTGGAATGCACTCATTTCAGATAAAATAAAACGTTTTTATTTTATCTAAAGAATTAAACTTTATTTTGCAAATAGGTAGGTACTTATTAAACTTTATTGGTTATATATAACCAATAAAATAAACATCTTACATTTCTTGCAAATTCATTAGTATCTGTTAACCTCCATCACTCCGACACTGGCAACCTTATTTAGGGATTAGTAACCCTCACAACTATTGTATTCTATTCTGCTCCAACCTTTATACCTGTGGTCATACTCAATTTAAAATTGTTTTCTTATATACTTCCTGTAAACTTGTTGACAAATTCTGTTTTTCATTGAGTCACCCGTATCAACAGTTTAGGGATTTGCAAACATAATTTATTGTTTTATTACTCTCTCATACATAAAAATACACTATAGGACGGTTTAATATTAATCTAGCTGAACACGTTGAGTGCCGATCAATCAATTCGGGATCAATCGGGTATCTTGGACGATACCGCTCATCTGATCGGAATAATGGTTACCTCCCCATTATTTTCTTTAATATCTCATCAACTCTCAGGTCTGGTTGCTGAACACGTGTTTTTGTTAATTTTGCGGTGTTTTCTTGACGTGGTTTTAATTTTAAGACTTATTTAATTCTTTTGCTTTGTGTATAGTAATAGTGGAGTTGTTTTGTGGCATCTTTTAAAAACTGGGGCACCAAAAATATTATACGAGTGTGTTTTGACATTATTCTAGCTTAACACGTTAAATGCCGATCACTCAGGTCACTAAGAAATCTAGTCTCTAGAACAGGGGTTCCCAAACTGGGGAGTGTGAGGACATGTCAGGGAAAGGGGGAGACAAGTCGAAAATTAAATTAAATTTAGGTAGTGTTTCTAAAATTCTAAATTAACCATGATTTTTAGAAAATTAAAACAAACCACTGTAACATCTGACTTTACACATAAATTTGAAATCGAATTCAAATTCTCTTCAATTCTTCAATTGAAACTCAGTCATCTAAAAAGAGCTTGAAGCTTCATATGAGTTATCACTTCTAATTGCTAAAGAAGAGCCATATTATTGGGAGACGCTTGTTAAACAGTGTTTTTTAAAGGCAGCTAATATTATTCCTGGATCGCAGAGTAACCAAAAGTTATCTCAAATACCTCTTCCTGACAATACTGTGAAACGTCGCATTGATGATATGGCTGAAGACATACAAAACCAGGTAGTTGATGCAGTAAAACAATCGCCATTGTTTGCTATTCAGCTAGACGAGAGTCAGACATAGCACAATGTTCTCAGTTAATTGTTTATGTTCGGTAAATTGAAAACGAAAGAATAAAATACGAGCTACTCATTTCTACAGAGTTGGAGACCACGACAAAAGCTATTGATGCTATGAAAGAAGTGTCAGACTTTTTTGACAAACATGACTCCCTTCTTGACTGTTTAAAGACTCCTTTGTCAAGATTTATAGAGAGTGATCACAAAAAAACTGCTATTTCATACAGAAGTTACGATGGCTTTCAAAAGGAAAATGTTGGTAAGATTATTTGACTTCGAGTATGAAGCAATCATCTTTTGGTTACAGCAAAAGCAAAATGAACTAAGCGTGGTCTTCAAAAAACATTGTACCCAAGTAATATTGGCTTATTTGTCAGACATCTTGGACTCGTTGAACAGCCTTACCTTAAAACTGCAGGGTGGAGACTCAAATATAGTTACTCATCGTGATGCGATCAAGATGTATATTGAGAAATTGCAACTTTGATGCGTAAAATATCAGCAAACCCCTGCAATTATTCGAGTTTCCCTAAAGTAGAGTCAATCTCAGAAGAAACAAGCTTCAAGGACATTTATGAAGGATCAAGTTTGAAAATCCAAACATCAAACCATTTGGAGAGTCTAATTAAAAAGTTCCAGAAATACTTCCCAAACACTTGTGACGATAGTATTTTCAGAATGTCAACATACACTCCCTGCCTTAATCACTTTGCCTTTTTCAAGCACCTATTTGGAAAGAGCATTTGTGGCAATTAAAACAAAGTATCGGAATAAACCTGATGCTGCTAGTGACATGCGTTGTACACTTACTAAAACTCAGCTACGAATAGGCATACCTAACCTAATCTACATTTCTTTTATTAATAACTTTTGTATTTTATAAAAACTGATATTATTGCATCTTATGGCAGTATAAATAAATGGTTTGTTTTCTATGTAATACTATTTGTTTTTGTTTTGTTCCTAGGCCCATACAATGTATTGTTAAGAGATGGGAGCGCGAGAAACTTTCATTTCAACAAAAGGGGGCGTGGTACAAAAAAGTTTGGGAACCCCTGCTCTAGAAAGACGCCACCCATTTCGATCAGAGTAACGGTTCCCATACCACCACCTACGACGAAGATCAGGAGTGGCTGATCCTGTAGAGAAAATAGCAATACTGAAGTAGAACTGAGCAGGTCACGTGGCTCGAATGACAGATAACAGATGGACAGAACGGATACTGGAATGTAGATCAAGAGATGATGCCTACCGAAACAGAAGTCGTCCACCAACACGTTAGACTGATCATCTAAAACACTGCCATAGGAATTGAATGCAAGAACACAGATCGAAAATTATGAGGGATATCTATTTCTGGTAGTAGACAAGCAAAGATATAATGATGAGGTTAGGTCGCTGATAACTTGGCGTGGACAAAAGACTTTGTCTATCCTTTGTTAGTTTTACGGTTTTTGTTGGGGTTTTAATTTTTTAATAAAGCTGGAGCTTTTGGTTCACCTTGTCAAAAAATACATTTATTAAAGAAAAAAATTAACTGAAGATTTTGTTTGCGAAATTATTACGGTTTCTCAGGATTAATAGCAGTGATGACGAATCTGTTTCGGATTTAGACGACTGAATCCTGATATCGGCACAGAAACTGTCCAGTAGATCTCTACAGACAGTTTTTGCTGTACTTTTTTAGAGTTTAATGTGAATAATATGTTTCACATCTCTAAATATAAATGCCATCAACTTTTCAAGCGGATATGTGCTTTACTTATTGTGCCTTAGCTGTTGTTCTCCATTTTTTATACTGATCTTTCGTCTTTGGTATGTTAAAATTGATTTATGTTTCATCAACAATTTCATATGGAGCTTAATGTTGAGTAGTTAACAAATAACAAAATACACGATGTTTCATAAAAAAACTTACCTCATTAACGGACGAATTATCACATCTAAAATCTTGAACATCATACACTTTATTATTGATGACGACCCACCGTCCACCGTCCAGGTTGTGATTCTCCAAGTCGGCTTGTCGTATCAAAGGCAAATCTTCGTATAATTTGTGAGTAATACTGTTGGGTTTAGTTTGCGTAATGCCAGGCCAGGCGATATCATCGGCGTCGTGCAGTTCTATGTCGGGCATCAGTCTACAAAGTCTGTCGATGGATTTAAGGACGTCGCTGAAGGTGTTCAGCCAGTTCATATTGATCAGAAACAACTCGGTCTCTTGTTCCAACAGGATTAGGCTTACGATCAATTCAGGCAGCAACACTCCTATAGAATAAGAAATATATTAATCACTTAACACTTTCACAACGATTTCCTGGAGTTTCTTTTCAATGTTTTTATTCTTAGTATATGAGAGCTTTTCTGAAAGTGGGTATCGTTACAGTAAAATGACAAAACCAAACAGTTTCAAGTTATATTCGGTAATTGCTTCACTTAAGTCTAAATTTAAAGAGAATGGATGCTCATAGAAGTCCCATTATGATAAAATTGGACGACAACTGGAGAAAAAAATACCATTATTTTTCTTCTATGAACTCTAGTTTTGGAGATAAACAAAAATTGAATATTTTATAATTGTTCATCCAAGAACATCTACCATTTTATTATCAAGAAGGTAACGTGGTGTTTTGCTTCAACATAAAGGAACTTTTAGAAAAAAATGGATGCACCGGTGCACATATATATATATATATATACTATTATATATATATATATATATATATATACATTTATATACAGCTTTATGGACATGAAACCTTTATTAAGAAGTAAACACATGAAGCAACCTCAAAAAGTATATTGTGACGTTAGAATAAAGCATTAAACAAATTAAGTGGCTTAGAAAAGAAGCTGTTGATGATGATTAATTTGAATATGTACCTAACACAGGAACAGTTTATCGCAACAGGCAACAAAAACTACCATTTTATTATTAGGAGAGAGAACTTGTTGTTTTGCAACAACATAAAAGAACTTTTAGAGAAAATGGGTACACCAGGGTACATATCAAGTTACTGGCAACTTTTATAGATAGTTTTATAGACATTGAACATATTAAGGAATATACACACAAAAAAACTACAAAAAGTGATAGTGTAAGGTTAGAATAAAATAGGGAACAAATTAAGTGGCTTAGAAAGGAAGCTGTATACGAGGGCAAGTTGAAAAGTTCTCGAACGAAGATTTTCCAGCAATACAGCAAAAACAGCAATAGTTTATCACAACAAAGAAGAAAATCCAGCATTTGATTATCGGGACGAGAAATTGGTTTGAAACAACATAAAAAACTCAAAGAAAAATGGGTACACATCTATAGCCCCAAATGTATGGGGCTATAGACAACTCAGATCACGTACAAAAGTTTATTTTATAATAATTTGAACACAGAAACATATATTTCTTACCTATTAGATCACTCTTCAAGATCTGCATCACTATTAGAAAATTCTTGGGGTTTCCTACGCAAGTATCGTACGCAGTGTTGAGCGTCATGGTCACGAAACAGCTAAAGCAGTCCAAATACTTCATCAGCAGCGTTTCTGCGGAATCCTGACAGTCCATCGACTTGGAATATATTTTTCCTATCAATAATCGTTGAAACCTTTGAAGCAACTTTAAACTCGGCGACGGAAGGAACTTTTGGGAAGGCAGCTTGCCGGTCATTCCGATTTCCTTCACGGTCGATTGAGTAACGACACTTATGTTCCTGTAAAAAAATAAATAACCGCAACTTCAACACTTTTATTAATATATTTATGATTATCGGCAAATTTCAGAGTTGTTTTATCAGAACAAATGAATTTTACTTTAATATTACTGATTTTATCATTTTTAAAGTAGTTATGGATTTAAACTTACCTAACCAATTGTCGTACGAGATATAGCAGAGGTATCGTTATGTGTGAGGAGGACTGTTCGAAATTTTCATCGGCGTTTGCAAGCTCGGAAGCTTCTGAGTTCAAAGCTTCGTTCAGAGCTGTTTCTAAACCTCCATCTGCCATCAGACTCCACACTAGAAGGTCAGTCATGAACCTATGACCGGATTTACACATTTTCGGTTCCATATCTAAAAACACATCGTTTTGTGTCACAGAATATTTTGTGAATTTTAATTCTTTTGTGAAATTAATGTTTCGTTTGACCAATATAAATCTGTTACATTGTTAATCCGACAAGATCAAAATTCTTACCTGTATTAAGTAGCAAAGATGATAATGTCCTCGCTCTACCATTAGCTGTGGGCAAGAGCACGGACCATCCGGTTTGCAAAGCTGCTTGGGCCGCGGCTTGCACTGTAGGCAAAATTTTGATAGCACTTGCCAAGTAGACAACTTGAGATTTCAAATTTGCCAACAGTTTGCTGTTGGGGCCCAAACCGACTGATTTGGCGTCGAGATTATTAGTAATAATACTGTGTAGCTGCAAAAGAAACAAAAAAAATTAATATATTATATTTAGAAGCTTTTTACTTGCTACTGAAAATATGTGATACAACAATATATGTGATACAACATATTCGGAAGAATATACCAACAAAGAAAATGTGTCGCTAACAATACTACCAGCGTGATTTTAGTGATTTTGTTTCGTAAAAATCATTAAAACACCAGTAATTTGTGATTTTTTTATCGAATAATATAATTAGCGATATACTTAAGAAACTTACTTGAAGTTGTAATAACTTTAAAGTTGAAATCGCGAGGCATTCCTTATCTTGTGTAGACGGATTATGGACTACTACCAGTTCCAGAATTTGATCAAGCAATCTAGAAAAAGAATGAATTTTAAAAATATTGGTTCAAATCTTGTCCGCTTGCTAGCCTATAAAAGGTCCTATTCCCGCTAGAAATAAATTTTTTATCGTCCCTTAATGCATACGAAATCAGAAAACTAGAGATTTTTTTATTTTTTTCTATTAAACACGTAAATTTCCGAAAAAAGAAATTATATTTTTATACGAAATATCAAAATATTATACAATTACGATGATAGCATTACTACGCCACTGACGAGTCACGATACCGATCGTCTGACGCCACGAGCAGTCTAATAGGACTATTCATCAAAAAATAGTGTCAGCCATTTTTTTCGAACAGATATTTTGTAAACAAACAGGTTAGGTTAGTAATATAAATAATTAATTATTACACTTGTACGGAAATGAATTAGATTGTGTTTGCGTGTATAATTCGATATTGTTACTATAAATTTAAGAATGAAATATAGTTTAAGGCTGACATTAAGATTTGTATTTCTCAAATCATCTTCAGACATCATTAAAATATAAAAAAAATACTTGAAAAAGTTAAGTAAAATTACAAATTCCATATTGTTATGTTCATGAATGAATGATAATGCACCAATTAAAATGGATTTTATTTCCTACAAATTTATAAACAGAACAGACTACGGGACTATTGAATCGACAATTCGAATGTATATAATTTTACAGTTTTGCAGTGTAAGGGTTTCGCCGTTCTGGGAAACTTAAATCATCGTTTGAACGATCCTTTGCGGTTCGCGGTTCATGCATTAATTTGACCGAGCAACGTGTCGCGATCACACAGTTCTTTCGTAAACACAGTTCATAGACAGCGTCATTCATAGGCATGATTTATAGGGTCATTCGAACGGTAGGGTCACCGAATGTGATTGTATCAATCACGGGTCTTCGAAAAGATCAGATCTTTGCGAACGGTTCATTCACGACCTTCTCATCACTAGACCAAAACCATATAAATAGAGAATTTTTATTGTAAGAATCAGTAATATTGATATAAGAGCGTATTGTTGTAGGAAAATATATAAAAACTTGTAATAAATATGTATTATAAAAATTAATGATGTTTTAGTAGTGTTAGTGCAAATAAATTAGAAATAGTGTTAAAATAACTGTGGCTAATAAATTAGGCTTTAGTAAAATCAGTTGACAATACACAAACTAATTGTATTTATATAAAGATTTTACTTACTTGAAAGTCTGTTCTGAGAGATCTATAACAAACGGAAGCGAAGTTTTAGGCACAAATGAGTTGACGTCGGTCCAACAGAAACTCTGAGAAGGTCCGCAAGATATTCCCACGATTCTTTGTCCTTTCAGAGACTCGATCATCTTCGGTTGTTGGATGTAAATGTCGGGCGTTTCGAATAGTTGCTTGTTTTCGTTTTTGCCCCAACCGTATATTTCTCCCGTGTCTGTTAAAGCTAGAATGTGAGCAGTGCCCAAACTAATAGAAACGACGCGTTTGTCTTGCAGGATTTCAACTGGTTCCGGGATGCGTATGTGATCTTCGTTGGGTTGGCCTAACCGCCAACCCTCTCCCTAGAGAAAAAATAAATTTGTTTGGAGAAGTATTTAAACATTTTATTACTTTTAATATTTCTAACATATGACCTTTTTGAGTTATTTATTTTGATTACGTATTTCATTGTTGATCTACAAATTTCCCTCGTTAAAATTGGCTATATTTATATTTTTTCACCCATTCAAACCCACACGTATGTGGAAAAATCATTAATACCCCAAAACGCTCGTGTATAATAGCTTTGATTAACTTCTTGAGACTTATCTAATTTAAGGTGCTCTTGTCCTTATAAAAAATAAACAATCTTTTCTTCGCTGGCAATTGTCTAGAATCATTGAGTTGCATTGTGGCACTGACGGCATTATACGCGTTGTTTGTCTGAGAATAGCTTCAGATGGCATCCTACAACTTCCGATGCTCAAAATATGCCCACTGCCTATTTGTTAATAAATATTTTTTGTTCTTACTTCATTCTATTATCATTGCATTTATAAAAACATTTGTTTTTAGAGGGGGAGAATGTTGGTGTGTTTCTTTTGTGCTGATAATAATTTATGAGTTATGCCAATTGAATTTTTTCTTTGGAATTTTATATTTTTCATTTAATTTTGATACAGCTTTAATTCATTAACCAGCTAATATATATTTCCTTCATAAACAATATTAATAAAAGAATATATAATTTTTTTTAACTCTGGTATATTCCATGTTATCTTATAAGAGTTGTTCTATAACTACTTGGCCTGACAAAGAAAACTGCTATAGATATTTCTAGCTAATTTAGAGCGCTATATTATCTTATAATAATTTATCATATTGGCCATCACAATCGAAGATTTAGACAGCTGCCTTCATCATCATTGGTACCACAACCCATGGTGAATCTTGGCCTGCTCAAGGATAAGTCTCCATTCTCTACTATTCTTCGCCTTGGCTTTCCCGTTTCGTACTCCCAACATTCTCAAGTCTTCCTTCATCACTCATATTCTTAAATGCGATACTACTGCGTTCATTGCTTCTACCTTTGTCGATTTGTACAACATATATCATTGAGTTCCAAAATTCAGTTGCCACACTTTTGCCTATCCGATGTTTTCCTTTCTCGCAAGATAACCTTTGGTTTATGTTTGACTGTTCTTTAGTTTCACGATTAGAGTCGGTGGACCTAGATTTCCAACCATCATCATCTCATCAGCCAATCGGTCATGCTGACATAGGCCTCCTCAGTTCTTTCCAGTGTTACTACATTGGGCCGCTTGTAGCCATTTCCGCTACACGTTTAATGTCATCGGCATCTAGTCGTGTCATCTCGTCTTTTATAATTTCTGGCCTCCATTCCATAATACGTCTGTCCACCGTCCATCTTGGTCTGGCTAAGTGCCTGCCCAGTTCCATTAGCGTCGTGTTCTTTCGATGACGTCTTGAACTACTGATCTTCCTATTGTTATTTGTTATGTGGTCTCAAGCTCACGTTCAGCATTGCACGTTCCATGCTCGTTTTGTACTCTAAGTTATTCGCAGATTTTGCTGAGTGTTAAGTCTCTGTCCATAAGTTTGTACAGGTAAACACATTGGTTATAACCTTTCGCTTGAGACACATGTTGAACTTTTTAGAATAGCTTATTTGCAATGCTGCCCATGTTAGATTATTGCCCGATTTCATGGTTGATTGTCTCTGCTTATTTTCCAGACGGCTATGAAACAGCGGGAAAAGACTTTTAGATTGTAGCAAAACTGTGCCAAAAATCACAAGAGACATTACATCTCACCGATTGTAACGTGGCCAGTGAAAAGCCCTCTCTCAGGCTGCAAACGAAACTCTTATCATTATTGATCAGAATATTAAAAGTTCTACGTATAAAGAGATTGGTGTGGTACCGATTGGAGCTGTTTTAGTATAATTACGGTGTTAAACGTCGGAGTGCAGTACCGTGTTCAGTTAGTGAGAGTTTAAGAGAATTTACAAAATGATATTCACATAATTAACCAAAAAAATGAAGAAAAACTACAGGTCGTTCCATTTGAGTATTATAATGAAAATGATACCAAAATATTGAAAAACCTATCAAATTAAGACTTACCTTTCCCCAAGTATAAAGTTTTCCTTCGCTGGACAACGCTACGCTGAAATGCGCTCCACAATAAACGTCCGTTATCTCCACGTCTTGCAATTTTTCTATCAACCTAGGTATTTTAGAACTTTCCGAACCTCCCCTGCCTAGTTTGCCGTAGTCGCCATCTCCCCAACTGTAAACTTTACCTGCAACAACGATGGACCGATAAAAAAAATCGTTTCTAAATTGTTTTCAAGCATACCTTGACTGGTTACACAGAGCGTATGAGCATCTCCAGAACCGCATGCTACTTTAGCGACGTGCTGACCAGACAATCCAGCTACTAGGGTCGGTACTAAACAGTCTTCACAGGTGCCATGACCAAGTCTTCCATAATAACCTTTACCCCAGGTGTACAGGGAACCGTTGGCAGATATGGCGGCACTGCACAATAAAAAGATATCAATTATTTATGATAATAATAAATTTTACCCTTAAAGGGAATGTGAACCGTATGGCAAACCTGGATAATAAATAATATAATTGGACAGTCGCCTAAAAACTGGTCACATTTACATAAGTCAAACTGGTAAAACTTTTAAGAAACGTATAGCAGAACATGATGAAAGGGGAATTTCAGCACTACACAAAATATTTAACTTAATTTATGAAACTGGCTACTATCCTCAACAGTGGTTACGCTCTACCTTTATTCCCCTGCCCAAGAAAGTCAATGCAAAAAGATGTGAGGATCATAGACTCATTAGCCTGATGAGTCACACTTTAAAGATATTCTTAAAAATACTACATCAAAGATTATACAAAAAATGTGAATGGGACATCAGTGACTCCCAGTTCGGGTTTAGGCAAGGTTTAGGAACACGAGAAGCAATAGTAGCAACACAGGTGCTGGTCCAAAATTGTTACGATCAGAAGAAGGATGTGTTCCTATGCTTTTTTGGATTACCAAAAAGCGTTTGATCGTGTCCAACACCACAAGTTAATGCAGATCCTCAAGAAAGTTGATATAGACCAAAAAGACATAAGATGCATTGAAAACTTGTACTGGCATCAAACGGCACAGTTAAAAATAGACAATTCTATATCCAAACCCATACATATAAGAAGGGGCGTTCGACAGGGATGTGTGCTTTCCCCTCTTTTATTTAACATTTATTCGGAAGCCATATTTCAAGAGTCTTTGGAGGATGCAAGATGGGAATCAAAGTGAATGGAGTATTGATCAACAACATACGATATGCTGATGATGGTGTCTTAATTTGTGACAACATAGTCGATCTTCAACAACTTGTCACTATAATCGGAGAATACAGTAAGCGAATGGGATTAGAGATTAATACCAAAAAAACCAAATTTATGATCATCTCCAGAAACTTGGATGCACTTGAAAACTCCACCATAACACTGAATACTAAGTCCATTGAAAGAGTGAGTAATTTAAATACCTGGGATCGTGGCTTTTTGAAGACTGGGCATCGGACAGGAAGTAAAATGTCGCATTGAGCAAGCTCGACAAGCTTTCGTAAAATTCAAGAAGGTACTGACTTGTTCAGAGTTCGATCTTCAACTGAGACTAAGGTTTACTAAGTGCTACGTGTGGTCAGTGCTGCTATATGGCGTAGAGGGCTGGACACTCAAAACGAGGGATATAAACAGATTAGAAGCTTTCGAAATGTGGCTCTATCGCCGTATCCTAAAAATACCATGGACAGCGAAAATCACAAATATAGATGTCCTTAAAAGAATAAACCAAGAACGCCAACTTTTCGAAACCATCAAGAAAAGGAAAACGGCGTATCTAGGTCACATCATGCGAAATGAAAAATACCAGTTCCTCCAACTTATAATCGAGGGTAAAATTGAAGGCAAGAGAGGAATGGGACGCAAGAAAATGTCCTGGCTCCGAAACATAAGGCAATGGACAGGGATTAATGACATACAATCTCTGATACATATTGCAAGAAATAGAGAATTAATGGAAAATGTGATCGCTAACATCCATTAGTGGATTTGCATCTGAAGAAGAAGAATAGCAGAACATAAAAGGGCTTGAAATAATAGAAAAACAGATTACCTGTAGGTGGCGCCACATTCAATCTCAACTATATCTTTCTCCAACAGAGCTTGTATTACAGTGGGTTCTTCTCTAAAAGTAGTATCACCATGACCTGTAAAGAAAACGACAATATAAACGTTTTTTGAAAGGTGCTTCTTTAAAATTGACTTACCCAAACGCCCGCCATCGCCATTACCCCACGAATACACCTCAGACTTTTTTGTCAGCGCCATAAAATGCTTGCCTTCCGTGTGAGAAGCTATTTTTGTAATTTCTATATCTTTTAAACCTGAAAGACGTGTTGAAGATTAAAACCAATAACTAAAGTTTATGTCGAAAACCAATTCAGTAAATATTTACCTTCTATGACTTGAGGACATTGGGTCTCGGAGGTGAAATACATAAAATACACTTTGCCGGAACAACTGAGTATCAAAATACCTCTGTCGGAACAACATAGTTGTTTGATTGTCAGATCTGCGATGGCCTCGCAGCTTTGAGGTCCTGTTCCGATCGCCCAAGAAAGCCAACCCCATCCCCACACTCTTTGGCCGTTGAAATAATAGGATGACTAAAAAAGTGCGATTACATATATCTACTCCTTTTTCAAACTGAATCTAACGACATAAAAACACAGTTAAATCACATCAAATCGACCCGGCATCCAGATCAATGTTGTCAGATGCATTTTTTTTTAATTCTTAACCCTTCTATGAAATTGTTTTCAGTATTCCAGTGTTAGTCAATGACATTCTAAGAAAAATAACATGCACATTTTTTAAAAAAAACACAATTTTATTAGTTATTATTAAAATGTTTTGTTATTAAAAGAAACAAAAAATTTAATTGAAAATACGCTATATTTTTTTCCGAAACGTTCATTTCGGAATTATCGATAATGTACGCCACTGGATGGCAAGTGCCATCAAGGTTATTAAATAACGAACAGTTTTTATGTCGTTACATTGAATACTAATAAGGTAAAGTATGTCTAAAAATGTATAGACTAGGTAAATAAAAATAAAAACTTTAGAAGTATTATTTAGTGACAGTACTAGTTTTAAACAGTTTGTCGGCCCAGTAGAAAAATATGTTTTAAATTATGTTGGGAAAAAGAAATTTAAAACGTTTTATAGAAAGGGAATGGTAACGTTTAAAATCACTAGAAAATGTCACCTTTTATCTTCTTAAAAGTGAAAATAAAAGATGTAGAGATGTAGGAAATTCACAGAAGAAATTTATACTTCTAATGGAAGTTCAAAAAACCTTACATGCTTCCAAGATATTTATTAGTGTGTCACAAATCATTTAAATCACTAGAAAATGATACTTTTTATCTTTCTAGTGGAAGTAATAAATATAAAGATCAACACTGATGACTTTCTAGGTAAAAAAACTCCGATAGAAAAGATCTATATCCTGCTGGATGTTCCGTGGCATCTCTCTCTCTCTCTCTCTCTCTCTTTTTTTTTCTTTGTCAACCATTTTCCATCCACTTCTGAATGTAGGTCTCTCCCAATTGCTTCCATCTTTCTCTATCTTGCGCCAATCTAATCCACTGTTTCCTGCCACTGCTCTTATGTCATCTACCCATCTTTGGTTTTCCCATGCTTGTTGTCATTATATCGGGCTATGTGACCTGCCCAGCGCAATTCATTTTTATAATTTCTTCCACAATATCCCTAATCTCCGTTCTACATCTTATCTCGGTGTTTCTAATCTTGTCTCTCAGTGATATTCCAAGCATGATTTGTTCCATTGCTCTTTGCGTTGTTTCTAATTTTTTGGCAGACTTTTTGGTAAGGGCTACTATCTCCAAGCCGTAGGTACAAACTGGTAGTATGCATGTGTTATACACCTTTTTCTTTTTAAGTTTCCAGGAATGGAGGTGTTTTTCAAGATATATGCTAGTTTGCTGAAAGCACCCCATGCCAGCTGTGTTCTTCTTTTAATTTCAGCATCTTGATTTGGTTTTCCTAGTTTGATGACATGACCTAGATATACATAATGTTCAACATTTTCTATGGTATGATTTTGTATTGTTATATTTGTCTGTTCTCGGCTCAGTATTTTTGTTTTACTGTAGTTCATTTTTAAGCCTACCGCTCCTGAAACTGCATTTAATTGTTGTAACATATCATTTAGTTCTTGGATATTATCGACTATTAAAACTATGTCATCTGTGAATCTCAAGTGGTTTAAGTATGATCCGTCGACATTGATACCCTTGTTCCATTCCATTCTCATACCTCTTTTCTCATATCTACCATACCACTACCACCACCATGGAAAATGGTAGCATCTACTGTTGTCAAAATTACTCTAAATGTTATTCTTTAGTACACACAGGGCAAAAGCCAACATCCTGCTGAAAGCTCTACAAGATCATCCAATCCAAAATTCAAAATTTTGCCAAAATTACTATAAAATGCCACTTTTTAAAAGATCTACATCCTGCTGAGAGTTCTGTAGCATCATAATTTGCCAAAATCACTAGAAAATGGCACTTTTTACTTTTTTAGCGAAAATAAAAGGTGTGAAGATCAACAATGAAGTATATTTTCGAAAAGGAACAGACAAAGCAATTATATACATCCTGCTGAAAGCTCTACAGCATCATTATATTGCCAAAATTACTTGAAAATATCACTATTTATCTTTCTAGTGGAAATAAGAAGTAGCAAGATCAACAGTGATGACTTTCTATGAAAATGAACTCCTATAGATAAGATCCATATCCTGCTGGAAGCTCTATAGCATCATTTTGATGTCAACATCACTAGAAAATGCCACTCTTTATCTTTTTAGAGGAAATAAAAGGTATGAAGATCAACAATAAAATATATATGGAAAGGAACTCCGAAAGTAAAGATATACATCCGGCCAAGAGATTTGTAGCATAATACTGTTGTGAAAATCACTATAAAATGTCACTTTTTATATTTCTAGTGAAAATAATATAAAGTTCAAAAGTGACGACTTTCTAGGTGAATGAACTCCCCTAGAAAAATCTATATCCTGTTGGAAGTTCTATAACATCTACTGTTGTAAAATCACTATAAAATATCATTTTTTATCTGCTCAATCGAACTAAAAGGTATAAAGATCACTTTATGTTACCTTGTGTCACTTTTTATCATTTCAATGGAAATAAAAGATACAAATGAAGCACATTTGTCATAAGGAATGCGAAAAGTAGACATCTACATCCTGCTGAAAGCTCTACAGCATTAATCTGTTGCCAAAATCACTAGAAAATGACACTTTTTTATCATAGAAATTGAAAGACTAGAACGTAAAGCAATGATGACTTTCTAGTCAAAGCAACTCCAAGAGTAAAGATAAGAATATCTATAAGAAGAAACTCTTAGAACATGAAACTACATCCTGTTAGAAACACAAAAACTACATCATACTGTTACTAAAATCACTGGAAAATGTCACTTTTTATCTTTTTGGTTGACATTTAATCTATAAAAATCATCAATGAAAAATATCTATGAAAAGCAACTCAGAGAATAAGGATCTACATCATCGTGGAAGCTCTACAAGAGTCTAGTATCATCAAAATCACTAGAAATGTCTATGTTTACCTTCTTGGTGGAAACAAACAGTATAAAGATCACCAATACAGAATATCTATGAAAGGGAATTCACAAAACAAAGATATAAATGTTCTGAAGCAAGTTCAGAGAACTATATAAGCTCTGAAGCAAAACCCTTTGGGACTACATACAAGCAGCAAAAGACCTGGCAGAAAGCAACAGGACAATTGTAAAGTAAGTACCAGCTCATAATGGTAAAAATGATCATAGAAAGTTGATATATTTGCATATATGATTTACCTGTACCAGAATTCATGTGAATTAAACTCTAGATCCAACTCTTATTAAAATCACAGTGTAAAACATGTTTCTCAAATGACACTACTAACAGGCAGATAATTCGTTTAAAAATGTAAAAACTGAAGAGGTACATTTTGAGACAGACTTTACACAATTATTAAAAACTGTGGGTTTATGTAAGTAATGTAGTTCTCACTTACCTTATTAAAAGATAAAGGCGGGACGTGGGAGCTTGCCAACCTATCTAAATGCGCCATAACACACACAGCAGCTTGTCTTAAGTCTATTTCACAGTCTTCAGCATCAGGCAACTCCAGCAAATCCAAATAGATCTTTGAACTACTTTCCAACTGATCACTCTCGTCTTTGTTACCGAAAATAGTCTGAGACGGTTTGATTTCAGAGAGCCTCCTGATGAATGGCAAGAGAGGGGCACTAGCCCCATCTTCAGTCGATCTGTTATCAGTTATGTGGGTTTTCTTATTCCATAGGGTTAGTAACAATAAAACTATGTCGAGGACACTGCTCAATGTCGCTTTCTGCAAAGCGAATTCTAATAGTAGGTTTAAGGAAATGTTTTGGTCTTCTATTGGAACTGTACAATACTGTCTTTCGCTAGATAGATCCCTGTGAAATATTTATATAAGTAGTAATTGTCATTATCGTTTCCCAAATATTAAAAAAGTCATGACTGAAAGACATATTTGGTTAATTAAGAATAAGATCATAGAAGGTGGTTTAATGCAGGTATAGATCTTATAGATGACAAGAGTTGCTAAAGCCCAATCAGAACAAATTAAAATCTAAGAAATTAGGTACATAATGTGAAAATTAGTAGAGTAGTATAAAGAGTGTGGTCACAATTTGCTTTTTGAAGGAGAAAATCAAAGAATAAAGTCATGCAAAACATATAAATACTTGGTAATAAAAATTACTAAGGATGGAACTGAAAGGATGTAAAAGAAAAGTATCTTTTTGCTAAATAACATAGGCAAGAATATCTCGAAACAAAATAAAAATGGAATATATAATACTTTAGACTAAATTGGACTTGTAATAGAGTGTAGCAGCTGTATATAGATATGTTTAAGATTTTCAGTAGCAGAATCCTATAATTCAAGGGGACAACTAACAACAAATTTCAAAAGCATATACAATAAGTAATTCAAATTGGTTCCTAGTGAAAGAATTCCAGCACCATCGAAATTGATTAAGATCATATACATAAAATTGTTGCTAAACACACTGAACTGATGACCAAATTGGTCAGTTGTTCCAAAGATGATTAAAAAATCTACAAAACCTTCAGAGTAAACCACCTTAGTAAAATAAACATGATTTATTGAGCAACATGTGATATAAAGTATAAAACACTTACCCTGTGACCACTTGCTTCAAAAACTTGATTGATCTTTCTACTACTTCCAACCACACTGGCGATACATCATTCTGCTCAAACAAAGTAGCCACAGGCAACAGTCTAAGGGCATCTAATGATTCATTCAACAATTCACTACAGAGATCAATGTCCTCACCCAATCGCCATGCTCGTTTCAGGAAAGCAAAGGAAAAGTTTAGTGCTGCTCGTGACCCAACCTGTAAATGAATAATAGATAAATAAATATAGCAAATGTGCAACTATACTGATTGCTCACCTGTGCCAAACTGGTGGCAGGATCTGCATTGGACATCTTCTTAATTTTGGCTGTTAATTTGGCATCTGAGGGTTCCATACTTGCTTTTCTGGTAAATATTGAATGTTCTATTTCAAGAGGATGAGGCGCCCGATTCAAGGCAATAAAATACCGCTTGAATATTAGTAAGCGATAGCGAAGCCTAATTGATGATAAAGTAGAGTCAGCTGCTTCTGCACACAGTGATTCTTGCTGTTGGTTTAAGCTGCAGATGCTTTCAGACAGTTGATCTGTAGCTGGGATAAAAAATATAGAATATAAGGCCTAATTTATTATTTTGTTTTCAAAAATATTAAAATTGACACTTTTTATCTTCTTGGTGGAAATAAAAGGTATAAAGATAAACATTAATGACTTTAAGAAAAAGAACTGAAAGAGCAACATTCTACATTCTGCAGGAAGGTCTGTAACATTCTGTAACATTGTCACAACCACTAGAAAAGTCAGTTTTTATCTTTTTGGTAGAAATAAAAGATCAACAGTGATACCTTTCTATGAAAGGGAATCACAGAATAAATTTCTACATCTATCTAAAGCTCTATATTAGCCAACTATTGCTAAAATCACTAGAAAATGTAACTTTGTGGAAAGAAAAGATAAAAAAATGTACAATGAATGATATATCTATGAAAAAGAATTCACAGGCCATTCATCTTTTGACTATGTGATCCACTGTTACCAAAATCACTAGAAGATTCCACTTTTTATATTCTTGGCAGAAATAAAAGGTGTACAGAGCAATAATGAAGCATATCAATAAAAAATATTTCATAGAGGAAAGATCTACATTCTACTTGAAGTTTAGGGAGCCTTACAGTGCCTAGAGTCATTTACTAACAAGTTAAAAGAAATTTGGGACTGTTCACAATCACCAAAAGAACTTTCAGTAAGCAACAGGACTATTTCTAAGTAAGTGAGAACTCTTAACAGTAAAAATAGAAATATAAAGTTGATATATTTGCAATAGAGAAAACAAATATGATTTTTGTAGTACCAGAGTTGTTCTGGGTTGCAAGAATAACAGACAGAAGAGAACAATACATTGAAATCTCACTTAAATAATACTCTATGTGCTGAGAACAAAAAGATTGTTATATTACAATCCTACATTGCCTCTTCAACGGACACTTCAGGATTTACACTATGTAAATATATCATTGTTATAGTAAGGCGTTCAATGTTATTCTTGTGAATAATACATAAAAAAAGTATTATTTTTCATAGTATACAGTAAATGTACTCACTAGGTTGAGGTCCCCAATCCCACCTATATAGTAAAGACTCAATAGATGGAAATTTTTCTTTATAAGAGACATTATTCTGGGTAGATTCTTCAGCATCCAGCTTTTGGCATGGTTGACAATTGCAACCACTAAGTGGACCACAAATTCCATCACAACATGTACAAGTTAATACCTGAAATCAACAAATAAATATGTAAACAACTGCTGCAACAAAAAATACTAGTTTTGAGTTGTGTTTTACAATGGCTTAGGAAAATACTGGTTGCCATAGTAAATATCACATCTTAAATCCAGTAGATATTATATTTCATAAGCTATGAATATCAATACAAACATTCTAACATGTAAGTTCATTTCAAGAAAACAAAAACTTAGAAAAACATACATTTACATGCTCGAAGCATATTGTAATTGTAATCATATAAAAACAGATTCTTGAATATGATTTTTGAGATAATTCAATACTTTACCCTTTGCCCGCAGTAATATTTCCCGAATTCCCCTTGTTTTGCAGTCACCCCAGCACTATTCAGTCTGCCAACAGAGAAGTCCCCTGTTAGCTCTCCGTCTGTAATCAACCCATTCCAGCAGTTTATCAAGTTGTCCTGAGAGGTAAATAAGGTTTCTAAATTCGTTTTAAGCCATTTTATGTCCAATCGGGGCTGAGGCCTCAATGTTGTCTCACAATGAGACATTTTAGGCGAGTATCTACAAACGAATTTGAATTAAAATCATAACATAATATAGATGAGATTGAAGATTTTGTAGTTTTATCTTCCATTATTATTAAAGCAATGAAGTTTATTCATTCAATAAATTAATATTTACCGTACCTTGCAAATTGTAAACATTTTTGTCAAAGTAACTTGACACGGAACTGACAAGTTGTCGATTGTGACAGTAATGACATTAAGTTGTTGCACCGTTGCCAGATCTTAAAAAGGTACCTAAAATAGGAATTTGAAATAGGCAACTTATTATACATTATATTGATAGTAACTGGTTTCCACAAAATTTATGAGAAATAAAGTACTAAAAGTACTGATGAAAACTTACAACTTCTATTTATTTGTACGGGAATATTGGAAGTATATAAAATCAGTTGTAAACAGACAACGAATGAAAACTTAAACATTTCACAATTATTCAACTTAGAATTTTTAAATCCAAGATAAAAGAAGTTTAAGTTCAAATTTATATTTTCTGACATGATAAATCTCGCACATTGTAACAAAAAATTACGATAATTTAATTTTGTGTTTTAAATTTGTTTTTTTTTTTTTTCAATAAAATAAAAACATTTATTTCGTAGTTCCAATATGCCAATCGAAGAGTTTTAATCAATTTACCACATTTTACTCCATCTCAATATTCTGGTAGTACATACAGCATACAGAATACCTTTTTAGACTTTTATTCTAGAAGAACTATAAACTTTTAACTTTTCCCTCGTACTGGATTTGACAGTTAAGTAGTAGGGGAATTAGGTCCAAACATCTATGAAGTTTGGCAACAAGGCGTAGTACAGGCTAATATTATTTATCATCATTGTTTAGTGCACCACATTTGAAAAATTGATTTATTTGGTATGTTGTAAATTATCAAGAAAGGGTTCGGAATGACTGCAACATACACCGAAATAATTTTAGCGAGTTGTATCTTAATCCTCCCGTTTCTTTATGAAGCAAGTTCAGCTTTCAGATACCACTTAAAATTTTTCCTTTATTATGCCTTGGTTATGGTAAATTCAGTTATACTCATCCCCGTTTACTGCTTTATGCCTGGAAATGTGAAAAATTTGCTGTAGGTATATTAATTTCAGATTGAGTTACATAGTTTTGGTTTGTTTGTGTTATAAAAAGTGATATTTTAGATTAGCTAGTGATTTTTGTCGATGGATTACAACTCTTCTCGGCATAAGATGGGTGTTGCGAGGGAAAGAAAATTTGGAGAAGGACCAGGCGTGTATCATCGTTTCAAACCACCAAAGTTCTTTAGATATTATGGGTAAGTACGCATTTTATTTAAAGAAACATGTACTATGCTTAAGAATAAAATAATATGTAGAACACTTTTTAATCCCACATTAAATTAATAAAGAGTTTTTAACATTTCCTTCAATATTTTCTTAAGAAATGCGTGTTATTAGCTCTTCATGAATAACCATGCCCTTTAATGAGATAATACATGTTTTATTTTGCTTTAAAGCTGTTACAGTTATATTCCTAAGAATGTCTTAAGCTTATTACTGATAACAAGATTTTCTTAAAACCTTCAGTCAATAATTCAATCAGTCGATGTCTAATAAATTTGTTAAGCAATTTAACTGATAAGAACAATATCTTTAAATCAAATAACGGGGATTATTGTGTAACTAAGTCATTTATTGACGAAGACATAAGAAATATTTTTGTCTAATGGGACGAAGTAGGTCTATCAGAAGGTCATACAAGATTATGAGAATTATCTTTCGTATTTTAGGTGATTTATTTTTTGTGTTGTATCCTTTGGTATACTTAAATATACATATACAGAGTGTTTCATCACACGGTATATTAAACTCGCGTCTGAGAATAATTCAATTTGAAATGTGAAAATTTGCAGTTCTGCATTTATATGTCTATTTATAGTAATATTGACAGTTGCGAGTCACATTATTAAATAGGGTCGGTAATTTTTGAAAATTTAAACAGCGAAATACTCAAAAAACGGTGACATTTTGAGTTTTTTCTCAGAAGAATCTTGAAAGAGAGAAATATTTTGACATCGCAAACGAGTAATTTATAGACGCATTAGATAAAATATAACGAAAGATTATATCAGGCCACCTCGCCTCCCCGACTTAATGCCTCTTAATTTTTTCAAAAGGAGAGTTCCATGAAAAATGAAAAACATAATCTAGTAAGAGTGCGGTACACATACGAAAATCTACTTATAAAAATCTTCCATTCTTTATATTATGTGTAAAAAGTGAATGTTTCTATTTAAAAATTTCTCATTTGATCTCTGTATTCATTGTAACTTAAAAATACTGCATTATAAGTAAATAGGCTTGGAAAGCACTCATCTCCTATGTTAAATCCATCGAGTTATAATCTAACTTGATGGTTAAATCGCATAAGAAAACGCTTAGGTTAATTCTGCTCATTTCTGGCTCCTTCCAAGGTCACTCGTAAACGGCGGAGTAGTTGTTAAGTTTGATTATGTAAAAAAGTTGCACGTCACATTTTGTGTCAAAACGTCAAATGTTATAATATCATAAAGCCAATTAAAAATTTACTGTTTACGTCAAATATCACGTATTATGCCAAAAAGTCACGTTTTGCGCTAAAACGTCAGGTGTTAAAAAAGTCACGAGGATTATACTTTTGTTCAGTAAACAATTTTTACATATACCAGCTATTTCTGCAGTCCGTTTTTATTAAAGTTTCTGGGTTTATGAGTCTTCTGGACAGTAATATACCCGACAAATGGCACAATGCTGGGGTAATTCTATTCTACAAAAAAACAGATACCCATGAGTTAGAAAATTACAGACCTTTGCCAATAGACATCAACCAGCGTTTTGTGACGCGCTAATCGTAGTGTTCTCTGCATTTCATGATCATGAAGACCATCAATAAACGTTTGAACGGCCAACTTTTCCATCATGTCTTCGGGAGCTGTTGGATAAGCATATCGTACTAATCTGGCAATATCTACCTCATATTCTTGAAGAGCCTCATCTTTCTTTTGTCTTCGATTTTTAAGCTGCGACTGATATACATGCTCCAAGTGTTCGTGGCCATATCGCATATTTAACCTCTTCTTAAGTTGTTCGAAATCATCGGTCACCTCTACGGCTATGGTCTGAAGCACATCTAAGGCATATCCTCGAAGAGCGATAGTCAGGTTTACAGCATTTTCTTTTTCAGACCATCCATTCGCTCTTGCAGCTGATTCGAACTGTTTCATGTAGTTGTTCCATGACGATTTTCCGTCGAAAGTTGGGACTTTGACATGAACAAAAACCTCCACTTCCTTCAAATTTCGGCCGTGTTTCCAACTTACATTTCGTCTCGTCTTCTTTTGTCTCTACTGTAATTGGATTGTTCCCTCTCTCTGCTGTCCCTGTTCCCTTCATCTTCCTTTCCATATCTTTCATCTTTTCTTCGAAGGCCAACATATTGGCAGCAACTTGGTTTTTTAACGAAGACTCTCTATCGTTGAGGGCAGACATCTCAGAAGTGACTTTAGAGATGTTCTGAAGCTATTTTCTTGTGGCATTGTAAATTAATTACTATTAAACCGGGAATAAGCCACAATTAAAGATAAAAATACGTTTATTGAAGTTTCAATTTTCACTTCGGAAATCGATCTCAAAATATTTTTGAGAATAGGTATTTTGAGAACGATTTCTGAAGTGGAAATTGAAACGTCAATAAACGTATTTTTATCTTTAATTGTGGCTTATTCCCAGTTTAATAGTAATTAATTTAGAGATGTTAGCAGAAACTTTGCTTTCCAGAAAAGAAATCTCGTCAGAAACTTTGCTTTCTAAAGAAGCGATGTCGCCGGAAACTTTGTTCTCTAATGATGCGATGTCACCGGAAACTTTCGAAATATCGCCAGTAACTTTGTTCTCTAATTTCAAAATCGACGAGATGACAGCATCTTCAAATATATAAGTTTTCGGGTCTAAACCCTCTTCCTCTAAAGCGTTCTTTAGTCGTTGGACTAACTCAGCCTTTTTTCCGGTAGAAGCTAATTCTCTACCTCGAGATGTCTTGTTAAATTCGTAACTGTGAGCTCGTAAATCGTCGTCATTTTCAGTATTTACACTATTCCACTTTTCTTCTGACACCAATTGTTATTTTTTTATAAATTCTAATTTATTGTTCTTATTTTGATTTACTAAAACACGATAATTTATATCAATTTATTAAACCACTGTAGAACAATTTATTTGCGACTAATAATTACATAATTTATTTACGAGCGTTACATTTTACAACGCGTCTCGATTTATCTTCTCTGACTGGTCTCCCACAATGAAAATCCCATTATTTATATCCAAATACAGCTATTCGAGAGTTCAGGCGATACCCTCTGACTAGACTAGAAGGATGTCGACCCTTGTCGAAAATACTGGAAGGCTTCGGCTGGTTTTTTTTTTTCATTCAACGTATTTCCGGATCGTTCGAATGGACCGGTTCTTTTTTATTGCTTGGAAATTCCGCTAGCTAGTCGAAGGGTCTCGTAGAATCTAGAACATATTAGTGAATAAACAACATGTTTACAGCTTTTTTAATATGACTAATTTTTACGTAACAATACCTAGCATAGGCAGCCTAGGAAAACTCAAAGGAATCATAAGTACCAATTTCTTTTAAACGTAAAACATTTGACCAATGTGGATTGCCTATGATGACCTATAGTGCCGTAACTTTGACATCGACAGCTGCAACTTCTAAAATTCTGCAAATAGCTCAGAGGAAAATGAAAGGTCAATGCTGAGTACTAAGAACATGAGTTACCGATGTAATTTCCTGAATTGTCACACTGAAATGGAACTGGGCTGGACACGTCGAACGAATCAGTGATGAAAGTTAGGAAGCCTATGCCTATGTTAGATAGGAGGCCTATGTCCGGCAGTATACGCAATGGGGCTGGATGATGGTGATGATAATTAGGAGACTAGCGTTTTTGACCTCGGCGACTATCTTTAAATCGATTTGCACTGTTGGAAATACCTAGTAACTCCAATAAAACAGACTGTTTATGTAGAACTTAAGTATAAATCGGCAAACCGTCAAACCTATTCAATAATTGGTATATCTTGGAGAGCTATTGTCAAAAAATGATATCAACAACAAAATCAAGTAACATCTCCGGTTTGAAAATTGATGTTGAAAAACCTGTGGAAAGTAACCCTTCTTGGACTGTGTGGAAGCAGATCTACAGGTAGGGGAAGTGTGCCTATGTTGGACCCCTGCCTATGACGGACCCCCGGCTCACGAAGTTTGTAGTTTAGTATTTGCAAAGTTTCAGACACGTGGCTGTTATAACAGTAAATTTGTGAAATAAAATTAAAATTTGGCGTTGCTGATCTAATAAATTTTTTTGGTAAGTAGCATTTTACTGGTAACATATGTTAAGCTAAGTGTTGCTTTTGTTTTGTATAAAATGACTACACTTTCTTTGTCAAATACTATACTTTGTTTTAGGTTAAAATGGTCAAAACAAAAGTAACAGAATTAAATTTGCTGCCTTGTCTATTTGCCTATGATGGACCCCTGTGTCGTTACCTATAACGGACTAGGGGTCCATCATAGGAAAAAGAAAATAAAATTGGACACACCTTCAGTTTTTGTTACTTAATGATTAACATAATATGTTTTACAGGGATGGCTCTACAAAAAAGGCAACAGTGGAACGAGAGTAATATGCAACAAGCTTTAAAAAGCATACAAGAAAAAACTATGGGGTTTAAGCTAGCAGCAAAAACATTTAACGTTCCAAAAACGACTTTGAAAAAGCGCTTTATTAAGCATCAAGGAAGTATCAAAGGTGATTTGGGAGTACGAAGACCAATATTCTCCACTACTATTGAACAGGAAGTTGCTGACCATATTATTACTATGGAAACTCGTTTTTTTGGCCTGACTAGTAAAGATTTGCGAAAACTTGTATACGAAGTAGCTGAAAGAAACAATATTAGCCACAATTTTAATAAGGAAACCAGGATGGCAGGCTGGAAATGGGTCAGAGGCTTTTTAAACCGAAATCCTCGAATATCATTACGCACTCCAGAAAATACTTCGTTGGCAAGGGCTCAAGCTTTTAATAAACCAAATATATGTGCCTATTTTACTGCATTAGCAAATATATTAGACGAGTTTCACTTTCCACCAGAAAACATTTATAATATGGACGAGTCCGGTTTGACAACTGTGCAAAAGAAATCGCAGAAAATTTATGCTAGTAAAGGTTGCAAACAAGTTGGTGCTTTAAGTAGTGCAGAGCGC